TCAAAAGTCGGCAAATAATGATACATATGCACCTCCTTGATCACGTCTTAGCACTTTTATCTTTTTGTTATGTTTATTTTCTACTTCATTTTTATACAACATAAACTTTTATGTTGCTTCATCTTTACTCTTAAGTAAATAGACAAAGCAATATTTAGTGTTGTCATCCACGAAGGTGATAAAAAACTAGTTCTCACCTCTTGATGGAATTGACTTCACATCACATACATCTGTGTGAATCATGTCAAGGGGGTCAGTAGACCTTTCTATTGATTGAAATGATGACTCGTTACTTTTGCCTCAACACATGTGTTACATTTATATTTATGGTCGATGTGAAACTTAGGGATGGCCACAAAATTAATTAAATGATGAAGGGTGTCTAAATTTACGTGACCAAGCATACCATGCCACATATGAACACTTAAATAAGTAAGCAGAAGATTTCTTTATTTCATTAGCTGAAGGCTTAATAGCCATTACATTCATCTTGAACATTCTGTACACAACACATTCCTTCCGCACAAACATCCCCATCTTTGTTAACACAAACTTATCTGACTCAAAAGCTAGGCGAAGACCATGCTTGTTCAACAGCCAATTAGATACAAGATTCTTATGAATTTCAGGAACATATATGCAACACATCTTTCAGGGTGAGATCCTTCCCCGATGTCATCTTGAGAACGACTCTTTTGCTTCCTTTTATCTTAGTAGTGGCATAATTTCCCATGAATATTTTTTCCCATCTTCAGTGGTCTTGTCCTAGCAAACATGTTGTATTGCACCTATGCTTATCCATCATTCCCTCGATTTTCAACCCACAAGGTTTACTTCCGATATCATCGCTGCAAGATCAATATCAGACACATCTTGAGCTATGTTATCTGCCAAGTTTGCTTGTTTTGACTTCTCTCGCTTTGGAAACCTACAATTCACAACTTGGTGGCTTGATTTGTCATAATTGTAACAGTTACCTTGGAACTTCTTTTTTACAATTCCACCTTTGGGTCCTCGATTGAACCCTCTACCTGTCTTTGAATCTTTTCTCCTTAGTAATTTGGTTTTGTTGGCCCTTGATATTTGACCACGCTCTACAACATTAGCCTTTTCACAGTTATGACCAAAACCCTTTTCTGTACAATTTTATTATCTTCCTCAACTCGAAGTCTTACAACAAGATCCTCAATGCTTATCACCTTTCATTTATGCTTAAGATAGTTCTTGAAATCCATCCATGCTGAGGGAAGTTTTTCGATTATTAATGCAACTTGGAAATTTTTGCTTACGACCATTCCCTCGACATAGATATCATGCAACATAACCTAGAGTTCTTGGACCTGATTCATCACAGTCTTTGAATCAATCGTTTTGAATTCTATAAACCGGGCAACCACAAATTTCTTGGATCCGGCATCCTCGATTTTATATTTCTTTTCAAGAGATTGCCATGATTCTTTTGAAGTGTTAGATGCACTATAAACATTATAGTGCATTTGCTAGACCATAAAGACATAGTTCCAGCATAAAAAGTCAGAATATTTTCCATGCTTCCACAATGCTGATCACATGAATATCAGTTTGTCTTTCGGGCACCGGGAACTTGAGGAGCATTCTCGATCAAGTAACATGTCACTTTAAGGTGGTCAAATAGAAGAACATTTTTTGTTGCCAACGTTTGAAATGCAATCCCGCAAACTTCTCTGATATCTCCGCGTGGTTCATGGGAACAATCCCAAAACCACCGGAAGAAAGCATGGGAGCCTTGCTCGAAACAATCAGGATAGTAGTCACAATGGTGCTCGAAGTCATAATAGCACTGTGATTAGGATTCCGTTGGGGTTTATGTCTGGAAATGGTTAAAGCAAAAAAAGGTCAACAAGATGATATATGATCACCAAAATAACAAAAAGTCTCAAAAGATCGTTTTAAATAGACATTTCTTTCTTTATCAGTAGAAGTATAAGTTTTATATTAAATTTTTTTCTTTCCCCTTTTTGGTCCTTTGAAAACACAGTAGATGAAATTCTTCAATTGTTCCATGAAAAAAATACGGCAGTAGAACCAAAACTCCAAGAACGCATGCATTTTTCCTTCCTTTTCCATTATTAAATCCAAGCACAACCAAAACTAATGTGGTCAGAAACAAATAACCTAAAACAAAAACAGAAATGAGAATTTTGGTTTGTTTTAGTTGATACACAAAAGCTTCGAATTAAAGACAGAACCAGAAAAAGAACAGTCTAGCCTGTTTTGAAACGGAGGCAAAACAGAAGTAGAAACCAAAATTTTGTTCTGTTGTAGCCTGATTGAGCTTAACTAGTCCAGGATTTTTTATTATAAATTCACGTCCACTACTATGTGTGATAACATATCAAACTTTGTCGTTGGGGGTAAAGTAAAAAAACCTAAAATCCTAATAGAAGTACAAGAAACTATCAAGAGCAACAAAACGATAGATTGGGACATCGATAAGCCTACCTTCTAACTTCCTTCCTTTGTGTAAATGACTCATGGCTCATGTTCTGATTCTAATATACTGAAGTTGATATTACATCTTCGATTGATTTAAAGTATGTGTTCTTATGTAACTTATCATTTTACCATATTTATTCTCATGCAATTTTTAATCAACTTATTTTTTTCTATTCTTATAGGAATAAACTACTGATGTCAGATGTTCAATTAAGGATTTGGCTTGGAAAATTTTGTGATTATCGTGGAGCGAGAAAACTTTCATGTCTATTGCTATTATGCTTATTTTTTCGAGAAATTAATAGATGAAAAGATAAAAGAGTAAAATGAGTAACTCTAAAAAGTTTGATAGTTTGGACTTTAAAGTTAATTAAATTGGAATTAAGATTACTAAAAGGCCTTCTTATAATGAAACATACTAGTGTGTGAATCCTGCGTTGCACGGTAGCATAAGTACTTTGTCTAATGATCCGAAGATTATCTATATAAATATATGTTAGTTGTTAATAGAATTATCAACAAATGGTATTCAAATAATTCAAAACAAAATTAAATCTAATTAGTGACACACACCATATATATATATATA